AGGTGAGGTAGAGGTGAGTAGAGGTGAGGTAGAGGTGAGGTAGAGGTGAGGTAAAGGTGAGGTAGAGGTGAGGTTTAGAGGTGAGGTAGAGATGGTAAAGGTGAGGTAGTAGGTTAGGTAAGGTGAGGTAGAGGTGAGGTAGAGTGAGGTAAGGTGAGGTAGAGGTGAGGTAGAGGTGAGGTAGAGGTGAGGTTAGGTGAGGTAGAGATGAGGTAAAGGTGAGGTAGAGGTGAGGTAGAGGTGAGGTAGAGGTGAGGTAGAGGTGAGGTAGAGTGAGGTAGAGGTGAGGTAGAGGTGAGGTGAAGGTTGAGGTAGACGGTGAGGTTAGAGGTGATGTAGAGGTGAGGTAGAGGTGAGGTAGAGGTGAGGTAGAGGTGAGGTAGAATGAGGTAGAGGTAGGTAAGGTGAGTAGAGGTGAGGTAGAGGTGAGGTAGAGATGAGGTAAGGATGAGGTAGAGTGAGGTAGAGGTGAGGTAGAGGTGAGGTAGAGGTGAGGTAGAGGTGAGGTAGAGGTGAGGTAGAGGTGAGGTAGAGGTGAGGTAGATGATGAGGTAAAGGTGAGGTAGAGGTGAGGTAGAGGTGATGGTTAGAGGTGAGGTAGAGGTGAGGTAAGGTGAGGTAGAGGTGAGGTAGAGGGGAGAGAGGTGAGGTAGGTGAGGTAGAGGTGAGGTAGAGGTTGAGGTAGGAGGTGAGGTGTAGAGGTGAGGTAAAGGTGAGGTAGAGGTGAGGTAGAGGTGAGGTAAAGGTGAGGTAGAGGTGAGGTAGAGGTGAGGTAGAGTGAGGTAAGGTGAGGTAGAGGTGAGGTAGAGGTGAGGTAGAGGTGAGGTAAAGGTGAGGTAGAGGTGAGGTAGAGGTGAGTAGAGGTGAGGTAGAGGTGAGGTAGAGGTGAGGTAGAGTGTTGAGGTAGAGGTGAGGTAGAGGTGAGGTAAAGGTGAGGTAGAGGTTTGAGGTAGAGATGAGGTAGAGATTGAGGTAAAGGTGAGGTAGAGGTGAGGTAGAGGTGAGGTAGAGATGAGGTAGAGTGAGGTAAGGTGAGTATAGGTAGAGGTGAGGTAGAGGTGAGGTAGAGTGAGGTAAAGGTGAGGTAGAGGTGAGGTACAGATGAGGTAATGGTGAGGTAGAAGTGAGGTAGAGGTTGATGGGTAGAGGTGAGGTAGAGTGAGGTAAAGGTGAGGTAGAGTGAGGTAGAGGTGAGGTAGAGGTGAGGTAGAGATGAGGTAGAGTGAGGTAAAGGTGAGGTAGAGGTGAGGTAGAGGTGAGGTAGAGATGGGTAAGGTGAGGTAAGGTGAGGTAGAGGTGAGTGTAGGGTGAGGTAGAGGTGAGGTAGAGGTGATGTAGAGGTGAGGTAGAGGTGAGGTAGAGGTGAGGTAGAGTGAGGTGAGGTAGTAGAGTTGAGGTAGAGGTGAGGTAGAGGTGAGGTAGAGGTGGTAGGTAGAGGTGAGGTAGAGGTGAGGTAGAGGTGAGGTAGAGGTGAGGTAGAGGTGAGGTAGAGGTGAGGTAGAGGTGAGGTAGAGGTGAGGTAGAGGTGAGGTAGAGGTGAGGTAAGGTAGAGGTAGAGGTGAGGTAGAGGTGAGGTAGAGGTGAGGTTAGAGGTGAGGTAGAGGTGAGGTAGAGGTGAGGTAGAGGTGAGGTAGAGGTGAGGTAGAGGTGAGGTAGAGGTGAGGTAGAGGTGAGGTTAGAGGTGAGGTAGAGGTGAGGTAGAGGTGAGGTAGAGGTGAGGTAGAGGTGAGGTAGAGTGGGTGAGGGTAGAGGTGAGGTAGAGGTGAGGTAGAGGTGAGGTAGAGGTGAGGTAGAGGTGAGGTAGAGGTGATGTAGAGGTGAGGTAGAGGTGAGGTAAGGTGAGGTAGAGGTGATGTAGAGTGTGGGTAGAGGTGATGTAGAGGTGAGGTAGAGGTGAGGTAGAGGTGAGGTAGAGAGTGAGTGAGTAGAGGTGAGGTAAGTGTGAGGTAAGGTGAGGTAGAGGTGAGGTAGAGGGTGAGTAGGTAGAGGTGAGGTAGAGGTGATGTAGAGGTACCTAGTACGGAAGGCACCGTCAGGTAGGTGAGTAGAGTGCGTCTAGTGAAGGTCGAGTAACCTCAGGTGGTCAGCGAGGTGGAAGGTGATCCGTCGGGATGTCGAGTCAAGTAGAGTTATGCCTAAGTCAATCGTAGAAGCTTCTGACCACAGCAGCAGCCCAGGAGCAGCGACAAGTAGGTACACACAGGCAGACAGCCGAGCAGACAGCTCAGCATGATAGCACCAGAGACAGCCCGCAGCAGCGTCGCAGGCCTAGAGGACGCAGCATAGAGAACCACAGCTGACAGACCGCAGAAGGCACCAGCTAGACAGCCGTCAGAAGACCAGCGAAGTCGTCAGAGCAGCACAGCTAAACGCAGCAGCAGGTGGGAGAGTGTGAGGGAGGGGTGTGTAGGAGTGATTAGTAAGTATACATGTAGGCTAATACCCTATGGGTGCACAGCGCTGCGGATATGTGTGAAGAGGAACCGTGCGCCGTAGGCAC